AGTTAAGGAGTTTGGTGCGAGGGTTTTTGTGGTGTAGTGGTGGTGCGTGGAAGTTTAGTGCAATGGAGTTGGTTTTGGAGTGGGAAGGGCTGATGGTGTAAGGAGGTGATGGACTTTTTTTTAATATAGTAGGGTTGTTCTTCTTTTTTTTTTTTTCTCTTTTCCGGGGAAGCTTCTGCTGTATTTTCAAATAGGTATATTTTCACATTAATACATCTTTCTTTTCTTTCAATTTTTATACATAAAGGATATGTTTAATTTTATTCATAAAGGATATTACACCGTTGGACATCCGGATCCCGGAACAACAACACCTTTTGCTGTTGGACAACTAACAATGTCACAGTGATCACCAGCTCCCCACCAATCAATTTGTGTTGTTCCAAAATTTAAGCAGAAATACAAAAGCACACCCATGAAAGCGGTGCCGGCATCCATTCCAGCTGATAGCACATAGTTGTACTTTTGCCACCATTTTTTTCGGTATTGGAAGAAGAAGTAGTTGAAGATGGTTCCCACAATAATCCAGCTGTTGTAATTGAGAGAAGTAGCCGGAGGCATCATCGCCGTCGCGCCAAGAAGTACTGGAAAGTTGATGTATTTGATCCACTTCATTTGGGGGAACATTTTGTATAGCAACCATACTAAGATGGGTGCTATTGCACCTATAAGAAAACCCCAGTTTAGGGCACGATAGAACCCGTTTGGCCCAAACATTCGGTATGGTCCCACTAATCCCCAAATAACGGAGGCGGTATAGAATACATTATCGTTGGGGCATGTCCAGGGACTATCATCTGGAAGTAGTGATTGGTTACATATGTTTGGGATGCTCGTCAACAAATACCAAGCCACAGCAATATTGATCGTCCCCGCAATGATGGTTCCAATGAACTTAAATAGGAAAGCAATTAGAGAAGTTAGAGCTTGTCTTGCAAAATGTGATAACAATATGTCAAGAAGCATGCTATATAGAGAAGGAAAAATTCATATAGAAGCCCACAACAATATCAAAGAAAAGCTATATATACCTGAACCAAGAACATGTCTCTTGGCGGAATCTTCATGTAGTGGCCTAGCTTGAAATCATTAAGGAAAGAAATAGCCTGGCTCATACTCATATATCCATAGGTTTTAAAGCAGACATTGGCTACAGGCCGTTCTGGGTAGACTAAACCAAAAACATATTCGGTTATAACATTTAGTCCTGGTGTCTGCGAGCAAAGGTAGAGCGTGATCAATCAATAAGGGAGATTAAAAAAAAAAATACTATCTCTATCTGTGTCCCAAAACTATTGTCCAATTTGTATTTTAAATTGTAATACAATTTAAATTGAAAATAAAAATCCAAACTGGACAATAATTATGGGACCGAGGAAGTATTATAATGACCATTTGATAAATATATGTGTGTGTGTGTGTGTCTATGCGTGCATGTGTGCGCGCGTATTACACTTTACCGTATTAGTGGTGGCCGTGATGATGCTTATTGGGAGTGTAAAGACAAAACCAAGCAACGCGGAGGCTAAAAGTGCCACCATGGTAGTTGAATCTGATCATTCATGGATATGCAAAGCACGAGACCCAGCGCAAGGGAAAGTGCGAGCGCGCTGTGGAACCACCAGTTTGGGATGTCCTTGTATGCCTTCATTAGTTTTGTGTGGATGTCCATCTTTCCTTTGCTTGAAGCTCTAAATTTGGCTATAATTTCCCTGCACAAATTAAACTCATCATCAAATCACACACCAATATTAATGGTCATTTTTTTCTTTTTTGCTTTCTTCTGAACTTATATAGCACACAATTTAATAGTATATTAGTACACACAAACTAATAACTTACTTTCCATTGAAACAAGCCACATGAGTGAGTGTAGCAACCACACCAGCAAAATTAAGGCCGTAAGCAATAGCAAAGAGCATGGACATGCGGACAGGTCCAAGTTTCTCGTACATTGGAACGTCTAATTTAAACTTGTCATTCACTATAGCCGATACATTGTACTCCACCCCATGCACGTCAAATGTGTGTGTGGAGAAGAAGGGAAATGTTTTGGCATCATACAAGTTAAACCCCCAATAACATATAGGTATCACCACATACATTACCGCGACATAGCCCACGAAAACATTAACGATGGCGAAAAATGGAGTCAAGAGGGGATTCCCAAGGTACGAGGCCACAACTGTCCAGTCCATGGTGAAGGATCCTAATCCAAGGCCTCCCATCCCTGAACCAATTTGTTGAAGGGTTACTGAATGAGGATATATCAAACACAACACCGTGAAGGAGGATGCTATTTTTAGGAGGTAGCCAGGGAGTGTGTACAAAGAGAAACTGCAGACTAAAACGATGAGGAAGAATTTCGCCCTTGACATGCGACTCTTATCTTTCTCGTGCAATGCCCTTCAATGAGTAAACCAAAAAAAAAATTTAAAAAAATAAAATAAAATCATCAAACAATTTCCTTAGACCAGTTTTTCACATCCCAGTACTCCCCCGTCCCGAAATTATTGTTTGCGTTTTCACTTTCAGTACAAATTGAACTAAAAATGAAAATTTAAATTGGAAATAATTTTGGGACGGAAGGAGTGTAACATTTTTCATTTTATTAAGTACATCTATCTCTCATTTATTCTAGGAGATATGAAATGAAAATCTGATTTCTGCTCTCTATGTCATATGGAAATGTTAGTCAAATCAACGGCCAGAATCACGTTTTGCATTACTTGAATTGAATTCTTCTTTTCATAAGATTTTCGGGGGATATATAGTCACACACAAAAAAGGAAGCAACTATGTTGAGACGATTATTACACCAAACAAATTAACCCAAAAAAAAAAAGAAAAAGAAAATTACCCTAATAGAGAGACTTGAACGAGACTGGATGGCCACCACATCTCTGCAGGCTCGACAACATATTTTCTTATCACCCCAGCAAAACCATAACCGATTACCTGTTCACAGGAGACTTAATTAATTACATCAGCGTAATCATAATATTCATCATTAAGGGTACTAAAAAAAAGGGCATATTTAAACAAAGCAAAATGAAAAGCCCTTTAAGGGGAAAAAAAAAAAGAAAGAAAGGGGAAAACCTGAGTAGTGATAACAAGAATCCAACTAGCCAAGAACGAAATCTTTCTACGATAAAGAGCTTTGACAATATCCACAATACCCACAGCATAAGGAGTGCCAATACCAAAAGCAAAACCACTGCTCGCAAAAATAGAAATCAACGCATGTTCTTTGATGTTAAACGGCCCCGGGTTAAGCGAGAACTCCGTTTCTCCAAAACCCGGGACCCGAAACTTGTTCTTAGGCAGGACTTTCGCCAGGAAACGACCCATTGGTAAGGTAGCTACTTGAGCGGTAATGGCGGTCACCGCCAAGGGTTCTGATCTGTACCCGAAGAAGGTATTGAGAAATGACAAAACCGCACATGAAAGGAACCCGAGAACCCACATCCTGAAAGTCCAAACCGGAAGTGAAGTGTCATCAGTTGTGGGTACCGTCAAACGAACTTGTTCGACTGGGGAGATTTCTTCCGGATCAATCCCATCTTCAGCTTTCCCTATTTCGAAAGAAGAAGACATGGCTGCGAGCTTTTAACAGTTTGGCCAAACAAATTCCGACTATATTTGATTATACGTAGCCCGAAAATGGTGATGCTGATTTGCTTTTAGGTTGGCCTGACTCTATCTCTCAATTCATTTAAACGAGGTGCTTTTATATTGGCCCAAGATTCTTTCCTTTTCGTTGATTGATCCTGGTAATGATATCAGATATTTCGTCGTGGAGTTTAATGCTAAATCGTCGTGGTGTGAAATCTTTATTGTTTAATAAGATGGTGTATGACATCTTTTACCAAATAAGTCCGAGTAAGAATTTCTTATGCTTGCCCGATCGACCATAGCAATGTTTTAATACGTATAAAAATTAAAAAGCAAATGTATCTTTCTAAAACCAATAAAATAAAAATAAAATTACTCTGTCACTTTAAAATAATAGTCCAGTTTAGATTGGAGTTTTGAGTATAAAAATTTAAACTAAAAATGAAAATTTAAACTGCACCATCATTCTGGAATAGAGAATATTAATTTATTATGACCTTATTGGTATGTCGATTGCAACTGAAGGGGAAAGAACCATCATTGATAATTCTTTTAATTTGTACTAATAATGGACTAAAACAAAATGACTTATCAAATTCTAGTGTTTCTTCTACTAATGAAATTGTTGGAAATACAACACTTCAAATGACGCAGTGTATCTTGGATCGCAACGAAAATAACCTATTAGTAAACTTATAAAGGTAAGGTTGCATACATCTTACCCATATCCTAACTTAGTTAGATATACATGGTATATTGACGTTGATGTTACAATCCTATTGATAAATAGATATATGTACGTAACATCAATTAAAAATAACAACAATAATAATAATTAATGATGCCAGTGAAAAATACATTAAATCCCACACAACTTAGCTTTCATCCTTGTACGTACTAGTAGAGGCATCTTTGAAGTCGCAACATCCATCTACTACAGCCCAAATTAGAATCTGATCCCATATTTACATTGAGGAATTCTGTAGGTTCAACTACTCAAACAACAAACCAAATGCTTTGTGACAAATTTCCACACTCTTTCTTAAATGCTCCGAAACAATTAATTAACGAAAGTTGCGGTACTTTTTCTTTCATACGACAAGAATGATTTCGCGCGCTGGAAGTTTATTCTGAGCTTGTAGTTTGATTGTGAAATCGACGTACGCTGTAGTTATCGTGTGTACTGCGGTCCGCGGAGAAGATTAAGACTACGCGTAAATTCTTGCCCTCTTAGAAATGAACTAATTAATAATTTGGCTATTTTGGCAACGTCTCCTTCTTTTATTAATTAATATTGTTAACGATGTTTAAGATCCAAACAAAATGACACGGGAAGTGAAATGTAATGAATGAGATAAAATAATGTTGAGATGTATAATATTAAAGGGAAAATTAACTAAAATAGGTAGGGAGAAATAGAAATGATGAAGAAAAGATCTATACTATTGGAGATAATCAAAATTATTACCATGCACTACTGAAGAAGAAGAAGAACGAGAAGTAATACCGCCATAAGCACCGCCAGAATTGGCAAAAATGGAAATTAAAGCAAATTCTCTGATATCAAAAGGACCAGGATTTAAAGAAAACTCCACTCCCAAATTTCGCAAGAATACCCTCCTTTTGGGCATCAATTTGGCCATAATGTGGCCTAAAGGGTACAAAATCGACACCGTTATCACCATCGACATAATGTATTGAGCTGTTTGGTAAAGGAAGAATTTGTTGAGAATGTACAGAAACAAGCATGACAAAGATCCCAAATACAGTACTCGAAACGTCCATACCGGCGGCTCTTCTTCGTAATCATATTCTCCACCTTTGTCATCTGCTTCGTCGTCCTCCTCCTCCCCGTCATCGTCATCATCTCTAACATCCTCGTTATCATCATAAATTTCGTCGACCTCTTCTTCGATTTCACTCGAACGACCCAAAAATGTACTGTTTGGATCGCGAATTTGGATGTAATCGCCTTCAGAAACTATACGAATACGAGGTTTCATGATGTTTCCTGGAAGATTAATGTAAGGTCTAATCAGTTAAAGGGCTTATGTTTGGTAGGATTTACAAGTTGATTAATTTGTGTAAGAAATAATTAGGGATCTGTTAAGCAAACACGCGTTCTTCTCGTTGACAAGTTCTTCTCTGGAACCCAAAAATTCGCCGATCACTAAGACCATTTTTATTTTCTTTTAACAAATTTTTGTGGCAAATGTTTGGGTATCCGATCTAGCTGCTTGGACTTGTTTTGTAATTCGTCCGTCTAAGAAAAATAATCCAATTTGTTGTGTTATTTTAATTCAGCGGATGAATTTTTTTTCTTCTGGGGCGGAGGGAGTACAATAATAATCCAAAAAGAAGACAAGAAAGATGATCTCAACAATGTTTTACCAATCAGAAATTAATTTTCTACAGAGAATCTATCCTTCAAACAAAATCTTACGAAAAATGCTTATGAATTCTATGAGTAAGAATAAAGCTCTAAAATGTAGGGCAACCATCAACAGATATACCTTTGGCAGTTGGGCAAGTAGCCAAATCACAATGCTCAGGATCCGTAGTACCCCACCATTTGATTTTCCGATCTTCCATTCCGACACTGAAGTAAAGCAGAACCGCCATGAACGCCACCCCTGCATCCAACGCCGCCGAAAGAATATAGTTGTATTTCTTCCACCATTTCTTCCTGTACCTAAACACGAAGAAGTTGAAAATCGTCCCGACCAAAATCCAGGAATTGTAGTTCAACGAACTAGCCGGTGGCATCGCCGCTGTTGCTCCGAGAAGTACCGGAAGATTAATCAGTTTAATCCATCTCTGTTCAGGGAATGCTCTGTGAAGGAGATATACTATTACAGGGCCAAGAAGTCCTCCAAGGAAGAACCAATTGAGTTCTTTGTAGTTTCCTTGATTCCCAAATATCCTTCTTGGACCTACTAATCCCCAAATGACCGATGCATCGAAGAAAACCCGATCGCCGGGACACGTCCATGGACTGTTTGATCCTTTTGGTTGATGACATATGTCTTGGACACTATGTAAAAGCCACCATGCTACACTCAGATTGACTGTTCCTGCAATTAAGGTCCCAATGAACTGGGATTTTTTGATTGACAATTTCTCAGAATTTTTGAATTATTCAAACCTGAACAGATTAAAATGTATGCTGAACAGAGGAGATGAGTAAAAATTAGATTATGGTATCCTGTACCTGAACTAAGAACATCGATCTTGGTGGGATTTTCATATAGTGACCAAGCTTGAAATCACCTAGGAAGGAGATCGCTTGATTCATGCTCATGTATCCATAAGTCTTGAAGCAAACATTTGCAATGGGTTTTCCAGGATAGATTATACCCATAATATACTCTGTTATGATATTCAGTCCTGGAGTCTGCAACAAAGTTTAATTAATCACAATATTCATTCACATGTACTCCCTCTGTCCCAAAGTTATTGTCCAATACTAAAATTGAAAACTCAAACTGGACAATAATTTTGGGACGGAAGGAGTATAATTATTCGTGGTATGTCAATACACACATATCTGCAACGGAAAAATGGCGATTTTCGGGATAATCTCACCTGATTAGTTGTGGCAGTGATGATGCTGATAGGCAGGGTAAACAGGAAGGCAATAAAAGCTGCAAAAATAAGTCCCCAATAAGGCATCTGGATTTGATGATTCAGAACAGTGGTGAGTATAAGTCCAATAGTTAATGTGACTCCTAGTAACACATAAAACCACATTGCAGGAATGTCCTTGTAGTTCCTCATCAACCTGGTGTGGATATCAACTTTCCCTTTTGATGAAGCCCTGTAACGCTGATAAATCTCTTTCCCATAGAACAAACCAACATGAGTGATCGTAGCAGCAATGGTGGCGAATCCAAATCCGTAAGTAAGCGCGAAAAATGTACTCAAGTTAACCCTCCCATGTTCATTATACTTGTCTTTATCCAACTGGAACTGATCATTCACAATGTCGGTTATCTCATAACTCTGGCCATCTGAAGTGAAAAGATCGGATGAAAATATCGGGAAATTTTTCGCGTTGTAGACGTTAAGCCCCCAATAAGATACTGGAATCACAATGTATATGATTACGAGGTAACCAACGCAAACATTGGCGATGGCGAAGAATGGTGTGATTAGAGGGCTCCCCAAGAAAGAAGCCACAGTTGTCCAGTCCAGTGTGAAAGCTCCAAGTCCTAATCCGTTCAAACCGGATCCTAATTGTTGAGCTGTGACTGATTTGGGAAATGCCCAGCAAACCCAAGAAATGGTTGATAATGTCTGGAAGAAGTAGCCTGGAATCAAGTACCACAGGAAACTGCAAATCAGTGCTATGGAGAAGAATTTCGGGCGGGACATTTTTCGACTTGTACGGGTACGGGTTTCCTCATCTTCGTCTTCATCGTCTCTTCGATGAAGTGCCCTGTCACACACAATTCAATATTCAAACCTTCATGATCAACTCATGCACTATCACTAATGATCAGCTCATGCATTATTCAAATTTGGCAACCAAAAAACATAATGTTATATTTAGAAGATTCACTAGCACTCTTCCGCCTTAAATTTATTTGTTCAGTTTGTAATACTCCTTCCATTCTGAAATAATTATCTAATATTAATTTTTATTTAATCTAATTTGTGCTAAAAATGAATATTCAAAGTAAATAATTATTTTAAACACAATGAGTACTAACATTATTATAACAAATGAAGATAATAAAGTTGGGACGAAATAAATACGTATTTTTAATTGCCTAAGAACCAAGGAGAACTGAGAATCAAATTCATCTTCAATGGTCATACTTGAAGAGAGAGATCTGGACAAGAGTGCTAGGCCACCACATGTGTGCCGGCTCAACTACGTATTTCCTCAGAAGTCCAGCCCAGCCATATCCTAAAACCTGTTCGTGCATAACAAAAAACAACCCAATGAATTCCACATGTAAATTAATTTTTTTAAAACAGGAAATACATAATTTATGTAGATATTACTCCTTGATTTCGTTTTTATTTTTTCTTTTCTTTTTTCAGTTTTCATTGCCCAATTCTCAATCGAAAATTCGAAATATTTACTACTCCCTCTGTCCCATAATTATTGTTCAGTTTGGAATTTCATTTTTAGTTCAAATTGTACTAAAAGTGAAATCTTAAACTGGACAATAATTTTGGACAGAGAGAGTAATTGCTTCTTAATATAAGAATTTGACTTTTCTTTTATACAAGAATAAAAGATTGATCGTCCTCTTCGAAGAGGTTTTCATAAATAGGAGAAACGTACATAACTTCATTGTTGTCACTTGTCACTTCATAAATTCTTAGGCAAACGATAATGTATACTCTCTCTGTCCCAAAATTATTATCCAGTTTGAGATTTCACTTTAAGTATAATTTGAATTAGAATGAAAATCTAATTTGGACAATAATTATGGGACGGAGGAAGTATAATAGTACTGACGGCCTCGAAAATGTATATTTGTATTGTACCTCATAGACTTGTGACAAATTATAACCAAAAACAATAAAAGGTCTTCCCAGATATTCTTGGCCGCGGAAGTAAACAAAACGTTCATGATAAATTTGTTCTTCATACTAGTTCATTTTTCGGACAAATCCACATATTTTAACCTCTTTTTCCTTCCTCACCCTACTTACATCATCCCAAATATGTATATTCCCTCATCCTTTCTATGTTAATAATACTAGTTTTTATTTACTTTTATTTTTTTGCAGTCGTTTATCCAAGCGAAAAAATAAAATGTGAAAGGATGGAATATTATTCATAAAACAATCATTAAGTGCAGTACTCCTACTGTAGAAAAAAAATCATATAAAAACTAAAAAGTACTTACGTAAATATTTTTTAAGGCAAACAAAAAAGGTTTAAGAAAATAAAATCTTCATTTTCTTTTTATTTTGGAAGAATTAGATAATCTTCATAATCGTACATCCGTACGTACCTGAGTTGTAGTAATAAGTAGCCAAGCAGCAAAGAACGAAATCTTCCTTCGATAAAACGCTATGATAATATTCACAATCCCAACCGCATAAGCCGACCCGCCACCAAAAGCCGCTCCGGCATTTGCAAATATGGATATAAGCACGTGTTCCTTCATGTTAAACGGATCCGGATTCAACGAGAACTTCCTAGACCCGAACCCGGGGATGTGGAACTGGGTGGTCGGAAGCATAGCCGCCATGAACCGCCCGATGGGGAGCGTGGCAACCACGACGGTGATCTGGGTGATGGTAAGTGGCTCTTTCCGGTAAGCGAAGAACTGGTTGAGAAATGAGAGGAGAGTGCATGAGATAATACCCATGACCCACATCCGAAATGTCCATACGGGTATACTCGGGTCGTCGGTTATGGGTACGGTTAAACGGACTTGTTCTATGGGTGAGAGTTCATCTTCTTCTACAGAAGTGGTGTTTAGACCTTCTTCTTCTCTGTATTGGTTCGGGGCTTCTACATTCAAGCTTTCTACAGCTACAGTACCCATTATGCTAAATCGTTAACATACGCTGAAAAAACGTTTCAAATGATGTTAGAAGAAGAAGAAGAAAGAAAGAAATGTTTTTTTTTTCTCTCTTTTTTTTTGGATTTGATGGTGAAGTACGGATATATATAGAGAGACGTGGACTTTAAAAAAGAAAAAAAGATGATGATGATGATGACGGAATTATAATGTTGGACTTGATGACAAAAAGGAGAAGCTATTTTGCCTTTGCTCGCTTTCATTTTTTTCTCGACAATTGGGATTTCAGAATTTGTATTAAAAATGCTTACTTTCGTTCTAAAATAATTATTTTGTTCATTTAATTACTGTAATATAACAAATCAGGTACCTATGTTGGGATGAAAGGATATATTATTGATTTTATTATTATATTAACCAGATAATTGTGTTAGGACGAAAGGATATCATTTATGGCATGGAAATTTTTCCAAAAAACAAAACATTTTACATCTTCCCCATGGTATATAAAACATTTTACATTTTCCAAAATGATTTCTCTTTCCAATATGTTTCCGATCATGGTTCAAATGATTTGCAGTTATGAATTATGTTTTACGTTCTTGCTTTTGTTCGGTGTGAACTAGCCACAAATGACAAAACGTTGATTATTTTTAATTAACCATAAAAGGTTGTTTGTTTGACATTTTGGACGCAAGCAAGTCTCAATTAAATCTAATCCTTAAAATATAACTTCTTGTACTAACCATCGACATAAACTTGGATCAAAATGTGTTTTGAGTACTGCATTATCATCTAGAGACAAGTAGGCACGGCCATTTTGATCAAACCAATAAAACATGTTTTCATCACGCTGTGAAATGTGAAGTCTTAGTTTTAGTTACTTTTAATATCGCGCCTTTTTCGATATTATGAAGATAAATTTATGAGAATAACTTGAAGAGGGGATTTTAGCACTGTGCCAAGCCTCAATGTTAGTACAAAACATAGTAAAGTACTTCAGTTGGTTCAAATGGCTAATCGGATATGAAACTAAGTAGATTATACAGTATTTTATTGTTATTGACGGGTCTTCAATTAAATGTTTTTTTCTTTTTTTTTCTTTTTTTTGAAAATGTCTTTTAGTTTGTCATGGAAAAGGAAAACTGCGTACGCTAGAGGTTTCTGTGTCTTCTGTTTTTTTTGAGGCTGCACTTATCGTGCGGACTTCGGAAGCAAATTTAATTGAAGTCGAGAGCCGTTTTTGTCCATCAAAAAACTAATTTTTCTGTCCCAAAATTATTATCCAGTTTGTATTTTTTACTTTTAATTTATTTTGTAGTAAAAATAAAAATCCAAATTACACAATAATTTCAAAACGGAAGAAGTATTATTCTGTTCTAAACAAATAATTCATATTGAGTTTTGAAATTTTATACAAAATTTGAAAACTCTACATAGACTATTTTTTTTTTAACAAATTTTAGGAATTAGGATAATGTATATTAATAATTGGAAATGTTTATTAATTATGTGCATTTAGATACCATGAATTCGGTACCAGAAATGAATATGGGATATTATCTGATCCCATTTTCTTTATCATAGCACGACAGCTTTTACAAATCAAAATCAAGCTTGATTGCATAGATAGTATCATCATCTGATCGTAATGTTGCATTGTGGACCACGTTTTTTAATTTCTACTTTCAAATGAATGTTATAAACGATACGTGCCCTGTGACCAACGAAGAACACTAAATAAAAACAAACAAAATTTTTATTTTATTTTTTGTTGTTTTGAACATAACAAAGGTAATTCATATGAACGGGAAATAAAATAATATTTATGTTTCTTTTTTCTTAAAGTACATAGGTGCTACCTCAAACTTAAACTATAGTCATATCGATGGATATCGATAACTTTGTGCGATTCAAACACACTATAAAACAAAAATTTAAAAAAAGAAACAAAAATGTTGAAAATGCCGCTAATTAAGTCAACAGCATTCAGTGACTAAGTACAGTGAAAATATATAGTGATAAATGAAAAGACACATACATCATTCACTTGCTAAACATGTCTATTTATTAATTAACGGTAAAAATATATTTTTGAGGGAAAAATAAAACTTCAACTGAAAAGTATCAAAAAACTAGGAGCCATGATTATTCCACATCAGTCACTATATTTTGTCACTATTTTCATTCATTAAGAGTATTATTTTCCTTAAGTCAAACAAGCCACTAAACATCATTCTAAAAAAAAAAAATCATTCTTAATCACTCTCTCCAAGTTCTGATTTTTACCGTAATACTAATGGATGATGAACTTTTTTAACAACCGTAAAGTTATGACTTTGCGAATGGTTAGTGACGGATTGAAACAACGAATATGAAAATATATTTTTAAAGTTTTTATTTTAATTAAAAAAATTATAAATTAAATATAGGATGAAATCAAAATACCTTATAATAAGAACGGGAGGGAGAATTATTTTCATATTGTTCAAGTTGTAGCCTTGAAAGACTAAAATCCTGTGATCCCTCATCCTTTTGAACAAGTTGATCATAGTGATGCTTGTCTTGTAGAATTAAATTTTGAGCTAAGATAAAATATTCATTTGCCAGAGCAAAGGAGGGATCATAGGTAATCGTCAGTGACATTGCTGCCAACGTTGTCAGCAGAGGACAATTTGACTCGTTTCCTTGAACTGATCGCTGAAATTGTGTCCTGTAAAATATATTGTTATTTCTATTGGACGAGAATAAAATCGAATTCGGTGGGTTTAGATATTTTCTCGTATCTGCTCCGTTTTGGTAAGATTGCCACTCAAGTTTTAGTCTCTGTTTTGTTCCATTTCACCCAATTATAACGTATATATTGATGCGATTCTAATTTGTTTTTGCCTTCCATTCTTTTGGTTTTTGTTACTAAATCATTACTGCTATTTGACGAATGAAATGTTACGTTCCTACTTAATTAATCAATCGACTAACCTTTCCTTTACGTTGAAAACCACCTATAATATACCTTTCCAATTTCCATAATTTGGCACTTTGACATCGACATTGGAAAGCGATCACACCAGAAATGTTGAGTTCATTAGCAGCGAGTTGGTGTTTTTTTTTTTTATTGTTATTATTATTTCCAAAATGAAAAAAAAAATTTTATTTTCTCCTGAGTGTGATGCATGATGCTTGAGAACAAATCTCCACTTGTTTTGATTATAAGAGAATTATTCATTGCTAACATAGTCCAATTTTGTTCCAGTGTACAAAAATGTTCGCTCTGTCTCAAAAATAATTTTTTTATTATAAAATAATTATTTTAAAACGAAAACCTTGTTTTGCACCCAAATCAAACGTGGTCACGTAAGTTTGCTTTTGTATAACCTGTAAACTAAATTGGTTTTATCCCTTTAAGAAAAGTACTATTCACAAATCCTGGAGTTTTTATGAATCAAACAGGTTTACGAGAGTAATCGAGCTAACAACTTAAAACAAAACTTTAAGAAGTTAATGAGGGACGAAACATTGTTGTGCCATAATGCAGCAGAAAAATTTGTTTCCGTATATAGTTTGGGGTAAATTGAGACATATAAAGTGACAATTGACCCGATTGTGTCACAAGTTTGCAACATGAAGGCATCAAGCTCTCATATTTTCAGCACTAAAATGCTGAATTATTAAGTTGCAAGAGGCCATTGTTCTCTTGTCTAGCTTCTAATGTGGTGTTATTTATCATTACTGTCTAGAATGCAATAAATTCGACAATGATTTTAAAACAGAGGGATAAATCCTTTTTCAGGAAAAAGATGGATGTATCGTTCTTCCTTTAATGTGTTACGTCTGCCATTTCCTCTCTGCATGTGAAACATTCATGTCTTTATTAGAAAGATCTATTGCTACAAAATAGGATGCAACCCAAGAAGTTTTCTGACTGGATTGTTACTCTTGATAGCGTGATTATCATAGTTTTGGAGTTTGGACCATAAAATTTCGGCCACAGAGTGATAAGTGATACCAAGTTCCTATACATAGGACCATCTGTTCTCTTGGAGGCTCGTAAATGTACACAATTTTCACAATGTTAGTTTTACAGGTGACTGCTATCCAACTTGTACCACTGGTTAAGGTAATGCCCTAGTGACCGCTTCCAGTGCTTGAAATTTCTAAACCCGCCAGTAATGGTCAGAATCAGTGATTGCGGTTGCAAATTTGCAATCCCAATAAATCCAGAAATCCAAACATAAAGATCAAAACCAATGCATATGTTCTTACTTCTCAGTGACCAGCGACCGGAGTAACTTTATCTGAGATGATCCAATCTTGTTATCCCACAGTTAGCAGATAGAATACACTGTAATTGCATTAAGTCCTGATTTGCATAAATGGTAAACGAATGAGCATTTCGGACAAAGAAAAAGGCTAAATATCACTCATAGAACCTTGCTCCTGAGACAAAACACACCAAGTCTACTGAGAAACAAAACTGAACTTGCTTACTAGTGAAGGTTTAAGACTTATAAGCCATAAAGATAAGCAAGTTTAATGAATCAAGTTGCTTCACAATACCAGATGTTACTAAATCTTTATTAAAAGTTGTTCAGCTGAACTTTTCTTCACAACGCCTCTAGAGCATAACTCCTCAAGCAACTCCAATGACTCTACTGCCAATCCTTCAAAAGCAATGCCTTCAATCAATATTGTGTAGGTTGATTCAGTAGGTTTACATCCTTTAGATACCATATAAACAAAATAGTCGATTGCTCGAGCAGTTTGGCGAGCTTTACAGAGACCAAGCATGACGGCATTGTAGATTACAGCATTAGGTTTGACACCAAGACCTTCCAAGTCGTGTAACAACCTGATGGCCTCATCGACCTTACCTTCTCTACTAAGCCCTGAAATGAGTGAATTGTAAGTAACTGCATCTGGTTGCAGACCTTTGTCCCGCATTTGCCGCATGAGTTTTATGGCATGTTGTGTTTTTCCCACCTTTGACAGTCCATCGATCACTGTGTTGTAAGTGATTAGAACTGGCGAGCAACCTCTACTGTCTAGCTGATCAAGGATCTCCACTGCAAGGTCCACTTTCCCATCTTTGCACAAAGCAGTAAGCAATGTGTTATAGGTGACTATATCCGGATAACAACCCCTACGTACCATTATCTCTAGATACTCTATCGCTCTATCCATCTTCTTTTCTTTGCAGAACGCATGAAGCAGCGGATTGTAACTCAAGGAATTTGGAGTACATCCATGTTTAGGCATATTTTCTAGAACATCAATTGCTCGCCCCAATAATCCCTTCCTACATAGAAAGTTGATTAAGATGTTGAATGTAACTACACTGGGGGAACAGCCTCTTTTAAGCATGTCAGCCAAGAGTTTCTCTGCATCCATCCACCTCCCGGTACTGCACATACTACGCAAAACGATGTTGTGAGTAATGACATTAGGCTGGCAGCCGTATGATGGCATTTTATCCAAGAACTTGATTGCTTCATCCAACCTCCCTTCCTTGCAAATGCCATTGATAAGAACGTTATAAGTAACCACATCAGGTTTACATCCTCTACTTCTCATCTCATCCAACAGCTTCATGGCCGGTCCGATCCCACTTTCCTTGCAAGTAGCTTCAATCAAAATTGTGTAAGTTATAACATCAGGATAACACTTCCTTTGCAACTGCTTGTCAAGAACTACCATTGCCTGCTTCAATTTTCCACTAGCACACAAAGACCGCAAGACAGTGTTATAAGTAACAACATCTGGAGCAACACTCATTCTGTCAAGCATCTTCAATGCATTATCAATCTCCCCAGACTTGCAATACCCGCTGATCAACACATTATAGGTAATAACATCAGGAACAGCCCCGGACTCCTCCAGAAATTCCACGACTTTAGTCGCCTTCTTAGTCTTCCCATCCTTACAAAACCCCCGGATCAAACTCGTGCATGGTATAATATCTGGAATGTCACCCCTGTAAAACATGGTTTCCAGATGCCTAAACGCTTCCTCCAAATCCCCATGCTTAACCAACCGACGAAGATAATTATTTCTCTCAAACTCCTCAAAATTGCCAGAGGGCTGCCCCTGCTCTCCTGGGCTTTTCTCATAATTCACTAACCTACCATTAGTACTCAAAGTTTCCATCTTCGGAACAGCAGAAACTTTAACTTCCCTTCGTTTCCCCAACCTTTGCCTACAACTCCGTTCACCAAGATTAACAGAATGGATGACAACAAACCTAGACTTCTGACAACCCACCATAACCTTAGCAGAAGTCAAGCTACAACACATGTTATTTCCATCCATTACCCCAAAATTCATTCCTTTTGTGATTCCCCTATGAATTGTAGAATTATAAGAGCAAAACCCTTCATGGGTTTTGGCAGAGGGCATCATCAGCTCCATATCCGCCACAATAATTCCACTTTATCTAACTATCTAAAAATCCCATATACAGAAGTCCCAAGCAAAATAATCATTCCCTAGAATCAGCAAGTAACTTAAGTAACCAAAAGCTTCTCGTGCAGGAGATAGACAGCAAAATCAAAGGGATGCGTAAGCGCTTAACGCAATCCAAGTATGAATTTGGCTAAGGAGAAAAATTATAAACAGAGAATTCAATCAGTGATAAGATTCTTACCGTTTGAAACGCTTTTGACGGCTGAGGGCTGAAGCCAGAGAAAGAAAATGGAGTGAATTGAAGAACATTTTGCTCTTATGCCGCCATGTTTCTTTCTTTTCTTATCCCCCTATTTCATGTGCGAGGAAGCAGCAGACTCGAGTCAATAAGACAAAAATCTGTATCTCCAACAAACCTATAACTAGTAAAGCCCAACTATTTTTCATCAAGGTCTTGAATGAGGCCTACTAAGATGTCCAATTGTATATGATTTTTTTTGAAAATGAATTGTATATGATTGATTTTCTATTTTTCTTCCTTTATTATTATTTTTTTTTTTTTTGGTTTCTAGTTGGCAGTCTAAGGCTTTGTTTGTTTGTCGTTTTATTTTACTTTTTGTCTCATTTTACCTCTTAAATACAAATCTCAATACATTATCCAAATATTAATTTAATTTACCTTTTAAACTATTATAAAGTTAAGTACCGATGGTCACTAAACTATTGTAAAGTTTTAAGTTTGGTCACTATAACATCCCACTTTCAAAAAATGGTCACTATACTATAATACTTTCCAAAAATTGTCACTAAATTACATTTTAAATCTCCTCCCAAATCCAAATAAACAATTAAAACAAAACATGGTCCAAACATCACGTAATACTCTAATGTTGCCCATGTATGATCAACTTAATCTTTTTTCCTTTCTCTAATGCTGTTGGTTGGCCTCATTTGTACCGAATCTTTTTTATTCACATAACTAGTTTGTTAGACAAGATCAACGATTATAGAAAAGAGAGATTTTGAACAACTCCACTCACCATTTGTTTATTCGTTTACAATCCTTAAAATGTTTGTCTAATTTAAATTTGTCATTCTTAGTTTAAATTATACTTTACAAAAATTAAAAAAATTAAACTAGACAATCTTTTGTAGAACAGAATGAATATTTCAATATTGAAACTTCATTTAAACTTCACACTTCAAACCAATAACAAAGACTTCCTTTTCCCTGAAATGATTGCCTGGTTTGATTTTCTATATTTAGTACGAATTAGTAATAAAAATCAAAATTTCAAATAAAACGCATGGAGTATTTTTATGTTTTGATCACCAGTACGACATAAAACACAGGTAATAGAATAATTTATCAAAATACTTTTACAAAATAAGTACATTTTATTTATCACACCACTATACTCTTGGAAATAACATATAGATAATCATTAAGCCCAAACATTAGGGAGCCATCGAAAAGATTACACAAATCTTAGTTTTTTTGTCAATCATTTGGATTTTAAATAGAGTTAGTAACAAGATTCATTGTTTAATAATAAACAGATCATCGAAGTCCATTTTGGAGGAAGGAAAAAGTCTAGGGATGATACCTTTGTGTAAGTTTCTTTTAAAAATGAGTTTCTCTTCCTCTAAATAAATTACTCATAGTAAGACCACCAAACTTTACGTCAGCTTTGTTTATTCTCTTTTCTTACAAAATGCAAAAAAATATATATCCCTCCAACTGTTTATTTCTGCTTCCTGAAAGAATAACCCACAAACACACTAATCTTATTAATATTTTCTTAATCTCTTTATGTGCCTAGCTGTACATATATTTTTCAATATATATTATAATTGTAGAATGTAATTTGAGTTTGGTACTCCTTTTTAAGTATTAAATCTGGCTTTTTCCCCTCTTTTTAAACCAAGAAAATAAAAAAGTCTTTATGTGTTACATTTAATTTTTTTAATGTTTTGATCTTTGATATACTTCCATTATATTATTTCTTTTTTTTTAATTTAAAAAGATTTTATGTGTTACATTTGGTGTTCCTTTAATGTTCTGACCTTTGATCTCTTTCCGTTGTTTTTTATTTTATTTTTAATTTAAAGATTATAAACAAATTAATGTTGATTATTAGTTGAATTTTGATTGGCCATGGTTTCAAGTATTTTTGTAGCTTTTTATTTTTCGTGTGTCTATTATTTTTCTCTTTTTGAATTTTAAGATTTTATTAATGAGAATTAAAAAGATTATTCCATAAGTCAGATAGAATATTAAAAGTTTTGTACTTTAAATTTGTCAATATATATAATTCTAAAAAAATAAGAGTTTTATCATTTTTTTTCCTTTAAATGTATGTTCTTTACGCTCGATGACCTTTCCATCCCAAACTCATTGAAAGTAATCACCTACTCATTATTTTTACGCATTTCTTGTGAAACTTTTAGTTTTGATTTTTTATTTCTTTTTTTGGGGTGGGGGGGAGGGGGAGAGGGGTTGTAATGCAAAAATTTATTGCATTCTATTGTTTATTTTGTGTACGTATGTGTGTTTTTTTCTTTTTTTTTCCCTTTATAGAGATAGAATATTATTTTTATTTATATTAAATTATGAAAAATATTTTTTGTTATATTATAGTATGACTTGCATAAACGCGAAGCGCATTCATCCATCTAGTTAAATCTAAATAAAAAAATAGCAGTAACTATATAAGCATTCTCGGAGGACAAAAAATTTTATTATTGTGATTACTCGTTAAAAAACAGATTGGCTTCAATTAGGTAATAAGTATACTAATTTGGGGATGACCATATTACTTGTCATCATTCCGTTGGATCCTCTCGTATTAATTACTTTAATTCATGCTAGTAATTAACAAGAGTTATGAGAATGATACGGGTAAAACAAGGAAAAAGCTACAACGAATCTTAACCTCAAACATTGGAGAACCAATTGTCATTGTTTTTGTATGAAATGCATCAGTATCCGACACGTTATATATAAAGCTAGATTGACTAATGTTATTCTAAACAGAAAAGAGGGAGGGAAAAGTTGCATAATTAACAAACTAATCTTTTAATTTAAAAATACTACGTATTACTTTACCTTTCTTTCAACTTGTAAGGAAACCCTCAATTCCGCAGCTTCGCTTTAAACCCCAAAGACCCGAAGCTTACATTATTCTCTATCCCTTTGGCACATAGACATAATCACGGTTTAAATTCAGATAGAAACTGAAATCATGCATAAAACTGTGCAAGGACATCCTATATGTGTAAAAATGTACTCCTTCTGTCCCAAAATTATTGTCCACTTTAAGAATTCACTTTTAGTATAATTTGAACTAGAAATGAAAACTCAAACTGAACAATAATTATGGGACGGAGAGAGTACTAAAAAAACGTACAGATTTAATTTAATTAAGAGAAAGAAAGTAGTTTTAAAATGAGATGAAATTAAAATTTTAATTTGATATAAATATCTCTTTCCTTTCCACTGTTTAGTCGAAATTCAGAAAGTCTAGAAACAATTAATTAAAGGACAAGTTACTGAGTCACTACGGTGATTCTAGTTCTATTAATTTGGAAGATAATACGGTGTTAAGACCTCCTCTTCTTGAAATAACTAATGATGTCTGGTTGTGCAATGCGCAACCCTGACCCAATATATCTGTAGATTTTAGAAATATTTGTATTTAGAAAAAAAAAACTATTTTATATTTGGGCTAATATATTTTAGAAATGTTTGAAGAATTTAAAAATGGTTTATAAGTGTGATCATAGAAATGTTTGTATTTGGCATAAAAAGAAATTGTATTTGGCCCGGTAAGTTTTAGAAATGTTTGAAGATTTTAAAAATGTTTTATAAGTGTTACTTCTTAAATATATATAAACTTGATCAAATATATGTCTTGAAGTAAATGCAAGACAAAATATAAAAGTATCCTCATAAGTTTAAATATTAGTAAGATAATTTATTGATATTCTCCATTGGTTGTGCCAAATTAATACTTAGTCTTGGAGATTTATAATAGCTTTGTAGTAAGCTTTCTCCAAAGGGTATATGCTTAATTATTGAAACTATTTCTTCCAAAAGTTTATAGGTAGTAAAATACCAAAAATATGATTTTGAAACTGGTTAATTGTTGAAACTGGTTGATCACAAATATGAGAATGAATATAATGTAAATTTACATAGGTTTCAAGTTATAGCAAAAAAGAAGTCACCTCACCATGGCAAATTTAAAAAAAAAAAGAGTAAAAGATAGCCCATTAAAAATTGAGAAATTTATTTTTTTCTGTAGGTAAAAATGATGTATAAAAACACAAATAAATATAGAAAAATCATTCCTACTATCTCCACCTCAAATTCATAAAAAGGTTCCCCATAAATTAGTTAGAAGAAGCGACCTGAACTATTTATATGATGAGGAACTAAAACAAGTCCAAAAACCAAATCCAAAAAAGTATATTCTTGAAAGACCGAACACAAAAAAAAACGCTTCATTTGTAAATAAAATAAAATAATAATAATAATAATTGATCAACTGGAAGTATGAAACAAAATCAAAAGCATTTAAACAAAGAAAAAAACACACTTCATAACTGACCATATATGAAAAAAAACCTGAGACTCCATAATTAAAAAAAGAAAACCAGTCTAATTGAATGAAACATAAAAAAGAAATTTAAAAAACCACACTTTGTAACAAAAACCCAATTAATCAATTCAATACAAACAGAACTAAAATCATACAAAAATTCTAGGCTAACTAACCATATAAGAAATCACATCATATTACCTAACAGCGGCTACGGTAGCTGTAACGGATGAACGCATAAAAATAATAGTAATAACACTATTCTTGAACGCGAAAAATAAAAAATAATAAAAGCCAAACAAATGATTTGCTGAAATAAAATCATTTAAATTTTAATACCTGTAATGGCATCATCATAATGGCCGAAGCAAGATCAATGAGAATTTTTTTTCCTTTGTTTTATATAGTGAGGTAAAGAGAATATTTTTTGAACTCGAAATTTTATCAGATTAGGATGTAGTTGATCATCACCAATGAAAAATTTAACATACTAATAGGAAAGAAGTATATTTCACTACATATTCTCAATTGATGATTGATGAGAAATTTGTTTTTTTTTTTTTTTTTTTTATATTGTGGAGAAGGGATTGATTAGAGAGTCGATTATCGTGGAGATGAGGATGAGGATTTGAGTTTTTTTATGAACATATGGTTTTTTTTTTTTGGGGCAAAAATAGGAGGTGAAGGTGGATTTGGACTGCATTTGCCTTTTAAGTCTAGAAGATGTGTAAATAAAAATTTATTTTCAAAATATGATGTGAAAATGATACATGGCAAATGGTGGTGCTTTCTCTAAAGTATGGTTTTTGTTTTTAATATAGTAAGATTTATTTATTTACGAGTGAAAATCATTCGTTTTAATCA